TAGTAATCTATTTCATTCAACTCTCACTTGATTTTTATAACAACTCTACAAGATTACAGGCTGATTTTGATATCTCTAATTTATAAATTAGGAAATTGAGGTGTTTAGAAGTGTTTTGTGGATTGTTCAAGGTCATCAGTGAATACTTCTGATACTGAAATCTCCATCTGACCCTCCATCTACTATAGCTTCCAGTTTCTTGACACAAATATATAAAGCTTTATTCCAAAGATGCCTTCTTTTTTGGAAGCTGTTCTCTATAATGAGATTTTTTAAAAAATATCTTGTAATTGTCATTATATACTTGTTGAAGGGTATTTATATACATTATTTCACTTACTGTAGTTCTCAAGAATATTAATGAAATTTTGGTGTGTGAATGAACTTTTAGTTACCGTACACTATTAATCATTTAGTAAAATGTAGATATAAAATAACATGCTTTTAAATTGTTTACTGACAATATTATTCTCAAGGTTTGGTGAGAGCTATATCTTAAACCACGTCTTATAAAATTTTTTTTTCTTAACTTGATTTTACTGCCACTAGGGGGTGCCTGTTAATTGAGTCTTATTTTGTATTTACATTTTTTTTTTAAAGCTAAGAGCAGTAAAATTACCATATAAGTGTCTGTAACTGAATTATATTTAGAATTATTTTAAAGTAAGTAATGTTTTTCAGAAAACAGAATTTCAGGCTTTTTGAGAATTTAAGAGCAAACTCTTTAATTGTAATCTTTATAACAGTTGAAATGCATTTAAAAACTTTTTAAATCAGATTTCACTAATTAATTCAAAGGTGATGCAGTACCCCTATGGCACAACTTCAGGTTATACTGTAAATCATGGTAAAATCAGAAGGGATGGGGACTGTTAATTATACCTGTTTCATATTATTATAGGAAAAATTCAGTCTGTCAAAGATTTATTGATTACCTACTAGATGAAAACAAGCTCTGTCCTGTGGGAGCTTATAACCTATTCATTAAGGTATATATAAGCTTATATATATATATATATTTATTTATTTAATTTATTTATTTATTTATTTTTGGCTGTGTTGGGTCTTCGTTCCTTTCTCTAGTTGCAATGAGCAGGGGCTACTCTTCGTTGCGGTGTGCAGGCTTCTCATTGCGGTGGCTTCTCTTGTTGTGGAGCACAGGCTCTAAGCACGCAGGCTCAGTAGTTGTGGCTCATGGGCTTAGTTGCTCCATGGCATGTGGGATCTTCCTGGGCCAGGGTTTGAACCCATGTCCCCTGCATTGGCAGGCGGATTCTTAACCACTGTGCCACCAGGGAAGTCCCCTTAATTCATCTCTTTAAAGAAAATTTCCAACACTGTTTTGGTGTCCTGTGTGCCACTCAGGTTGATTCATCCAGTAATCACCTCTTTTCTTCATCTGCTCTAAAAGTTGGTGTTCCCCAGAATTCTGTTTTCAGCAGTCCCTCTTACTGTACATTCTCCCTGATGTCTCCTCTCAATACTTCAATTTCCAAAAACATATATAGATGACAAGTCTCTATTTATAAACACCTGTTTCCTACTTGCCAGTGGAGCTTTTCACTGGTGTGTGTCCCATATGTAATTCAGTCACATGTCTAGAACTGAGACAATCCAGAAAAATATGTACTACTTACTGCCTATATTTTTTGTCTCAAATGTACAATGCTACAAAATGTTGCAGTGTATTCCAAGTAGGATGATAATTATTTAAAAGGTCATCAGTTTGGTTTATAAGTAATTAATGAATTTATTAAGATTATTTTTGGTAGGAAGATGAGAATAAGAACCAGGTTGTAGTAGATTTTAATGGATAAGTGAGAAATGAGGGATTAGAGTTACTGTTATTTTCAGAAAATTCAACTCTGAAGGGAGAGAGAAGTTGAGGGAGGAGTAGGGTCAAGAGAAGAATTATTAGAAGATAGAAGAATTATTAGAAGAATTATTAGAAGAATTATTAGAATTATGAGGAGGAAGAGACAGCAAATAGGAAAAATTTGAAAAAGTGAAACCAAAAAGGGTATGGGAGTGTCTAAACTTAAGCTGCAATGATAAAATACCATAGACTGGGTGACAAACAATAGACATTTATTTCTCACAGTTCTTGAGGCTGAAAGGCCCAATCAGGGTTCCTGTGAGATTTAGTTTCTAGTGAGAGTTCTCTTCCTGGCTTGCAGACAGCTGCCTTCTTACTGTGTCCTCATATGGGGGGATGGGGGTAGGGGGGAAGGAGGGAGGGAAAGGAAGTAGGGGAAGGGAAGTAGAGGAGGCAGGGAGCAAGCAAGTACTGGAGTCCTCTTGTCTCTCTTCCTCTTCTTATAAAGACACCAATCCTATTGGATTAGGGCCCCACCCTTATGACTTCATTTAATCTTAATTACTTCCTAAAGACTGTTTACAGATACAGCCATATTGGGGGTTAGGGCTTCAATATAAGATTTCTAGGGTTGGGGCATGCAGTTCAGTCTATAGCAGGGAGGCAGGGTAGAGTCCAGGGGTTAAGTGTTGAAGTTACCTGGCAGGTTTAGAGATAGTAGAAAAGGCAGAAGAATAGAAGATTGGAGCAAGTGAAGAACATTTCTGGATTCTGGATTTCAGTGCTGTTAAGTAATAGTTGTTGAAAAGTTTAAATTATAGATAATACTGCAGTAGAAGATAGGTAATAGTTACAAGAATAAGGATATGAAGTTAAAGTATTTGGTAAGTGATAGTGACACAACAGTTATCATTTATGAAGACAGGCTTTTTGCCAAGCCCTTTATATATATATTATCTGATTAAATCCTCACAATAAATCATAGATAGGTGTTCTTTGTCACATTTTGCAGATGGGTAAACTGAATTAGAGGTAGTGGTTAGGTGATGGCAGAGAGAGGGTAGTTATTGAGAGCTTGTTTAGGTTCTTGTTTGAAGAAAGCTACAGCTACTGATTAAATTAGTCTGTATTAGAAAAGTATAAACCTAGGTATAAATGTTATAACTTAAGGGGATAAACACTAAAGAAAAATAACCTGCATGCTTCTAGAAGAAAAAAGAATAGTCAGCTATATGTTGTTTATCAGAGAAATATCTCTTAAAGAAATGACACAGAAAAGAGAAAATAAAGGGTATAAGAAATGATATTTAAGCCAAATATTAATTTTTATAATGTAGTGTGGCAATATTAATATCACATAAAATTGAATTTAAGGCAAATAATATTGAGGGACAGTTTACTAAGAAGATATGACAATTGTAAACTTGTGTGCACAAATCAGCAAAAATTGACAAAATTACAAGGGGAAATAGTTCAACCACAATTATATACAAATGTCTTATGGAAACTAATGAATTAAGCAATAAGTCTTTGTAGGCTATTTATTATTTGAATAACCAAATTAAGCACATATAGAATACTTATGAAAATTGACCACGTATTAGAACACAAAGCCAGTATCAAAGAATCACTATCATGCTGACCCATTCTCTGGCCATTATGCAATAAAATTAGAAGTGAAGTAATAATAAAAAGGTATCTCTGAGATTCTCCATACATTTGGATACTACAAATAATTTACTTCACAATAATTTATGGGTAAAAATGAGATCATGATAGCAACCACTAGCTGTTCAGAAGTGAACATAAATAAGAGTGCTATATATTAAAACTTTGAATGTAGCAAAAGTGGTACTTAGAGGGAAATTTGTAATATTAAGTCCACTAATTAGAAGATAAGAAAGATAGAAAACAATTGTATGTTCAACTTAAGAAAATAGAGAAATAACAATAGAGTAAATCTGAAGAAAATAGAAGGAAAGAAAGATTTAAAAGCAGTAATTAATGATAGAAGTAATCAACAAGTAATAACTGCTTGAAAAACCAAGCCAAGAAAAAACGAGGGTAAGCACAAAAATATTAGGTGTGAAAAAGGGGACTTAACTACAGATTCAGAAGAGATTATTTGATTAATAAAATAATTATTAAATAAGTTAATACAAAACAAATAAGAAATTAATAAATTAAATTGTTTTAAAACAAAAATGTGTGTGAATAGTAATAAAATAAGCATATCTTCATGGCTTATTAAAATCTGAAATTTAGTTGAAATGGAAAATTTTGCATAAACTCTCAAGTACTACAATGAATACAAGAAATAGGTAACCTGAAAAAATGATAGCCATCAAAGAAATTGAATTTATAGTCAAAAATTTCACATGCCACTTCTTCACCCTCCCCCACCCCAGAGGATTTCCATAAAGAAATTTTACACAAACTCTTCCCAGTGAGACTGCTACCTATCTTATTTTATAATGTTCATGTAGGGCTTCCCTGGTGGCACAGTGGTTGAGAATCTGCCTGCTAATGTTGGGGACACGGGTTTGAGCCCTGGTCTGGGAAGATCCCACATGCCACGGAGCATCTAGGCCCGTGAGCCACAACTACTGAGCCTGCACGTCTGGAGCCTATGCTCCGCAACAAGAGAGGCCGTGATAGTGAGAGGCCCGCACGCCACAATGAAGAGTGGCCCCCGCTTGCCACAACTAGAGAAAGCCCTCGCACAGAAACGAAGACCCAACGCAGCCAAAAATAAATAAATTAATAAATTTTTAAAAAAAGTTAATGTTCATGTAATCTTGTTACCAAAATTAGAAAAAGATAATGTAAGAAAAAATTGTGTGTAAATCTCACTTATAACCATAGATAATAAAAATGAGTAGGTAAACTTTTCTTTGCCTTCTCTCAGCCTTACCATTTAATGACCTCTTTTTTCCCCTGTCCTTATTCCACTACTTCAAATGGCACCTCTCCCAGCATTCAAATGGTCTAAGATGTAAATGAACCAAAAACCATAACTTGATTATGTCTCTCCCCTGCTCAAACCCCTCCATTTGCGTTTTTGCACTTAGAATAAAATCCAGGTTCCTTACTAAGGTATATAAAGGACTTATATAATCTTGTTCCTGACTCTCTCTCTAACTTCATCTTTTATCATTCTCATCTCTGGCTTGTATCTTGCCAGCCACACTGGCCTCCCTGCTCTTCTTCTAAGTGTGCTTCAACTTCAGGACATTTGCACTTTGCTATTCCCCTGCCTGAAATGATCTACCACTTATCAACTTGGCTTACTCCTTTACTTTATTCAGGCCTCTACTCAAATGTTACATCCTCAGATAGGCTTTCCTTGATTCCCCTGGCTAAAAAAGCCCCTCTGTTATACATTCTCCCTTTATCTTACATTATGACAACAATGCATTATATTAGTAATATTAGTAATATATTCATATTTGTTGTCTGTGTCCCTCATCACAATGTAAAGCTGTAAGAAATCAGCAGCTTTCTTTTTTGTTCACTGTTGTATCCTCAACAGCTAAAAGAGGGCCTGAAATATAGTAGGTACTTAGAACTATTTGTGGAATGAATACTGTGAAGTGCTACATGCCTAAGGATGTTTGCCTCCTAAGAGAGACCAAAGGTAAGAAGTAAAGTTCTAATGGAGGGCTATCAAGCATCATGCAGAACAGATATAAGATACTTGGGGAGCCGAAGATCTTACAAGTGTCCCATAAATGTAATGAACTAGGCAATCTCCACTTCTTGACCTGAGTTTAGCCTTTTTGTCCAGTGTTCCTTTTCATTTTTCTCATCAAAGTATGGAGTAATGGAAGGAGCTCTGGCTTTATAGTGAGACACTGTTTATCCTATAACTGTCCTACACTGGTTTTGTGGCCTCAGGCAACATCTTTCTTCTCTGAGTCTTAGTTTCCCTAGTATTATTTCTTATATGGCTGTCCTCTCTCCAACCAGATCCCAAGCTGTAAAGAGCAAGAGCATTCTTGCTGAGCATCTCCCTCAGTTCACGAGAGTGCCATCTATATAGAGGCCCTTAATAAACATTTGTTGTAATGAATATGAAAAGTTTCATGACAAATTGAGGGATTTAATTTTTTATCCATGCATGTGTAGTCTCTCCATTGGCTGTTTTGCTATTTGTCAAACTCATCATAAAGTGTTTTTCAGATAAATGGAGAGTCCATCTCATTTATTCATGCAGGATGTCAGTTATTCACTCATTTACTAGATATAGATTGAGTACCGTCTTAAAATGTGTTAGGTCCTTGTTCTAGGTGTTAGGGATACAATGAGAAACGAGACAACAAGGTACCTGCTTTCATGGAGTTTACAATATAATATGTGTAGACATGGTAGGGTGGAGGGACAGGCAACAAACTACAAATAAACCAGAAAAATTATCAGATGATAACAAGTGCTTTGCAGAAAACTGAAATAGAATGATATGATAAGAAGTAATTGGGTGACTACTGTAAGTTGTAAGGTCAGGAAAGTGGTACTGTTTCAACTGAGACATGAATGATTGAGGAACCATTAAAGTGAAGAGCAGAATGAATAGTATTCTAGGCAAGGGAAATAACTAGTGCCAAAGCCCTCAGGCCATGTATAAATATAAATGGAGAAGGTTTAGTATTTCTGGATTTGGTATTACTAATGATCACCTTGCTAGAAAAGGACTGAATGGGTGTCTTGGTAATAAGACAGTCTTTTCAACTTGCTTTGGTCTTATTCTAATAAGTGCTAAAAATGTCCAGCTCCATTTTAATTATATAGATTGTCTTCATTTTTATGGCAGGGTGACAGAAAATAAGGTATCCCTTATGTGTAACTGTCCCTTTTACAAGTAGTAATTGAGTCTTGCTTTTGAACTTTGACCTTTTTATACTGGGAGGATGGTTCCCATTAATATTTTGTTGAGTTCTATGAGGGTAATGTTGAGCTCTGGTCATGCAGTCTAGCATATGGTCCTCTTGTATGGCTTCTGAGTTGTGAAGTTGCTTTTAATTCTGACTTTGAATTAGTTGCTATTTGTGCAAGCATTAGTAAATTCAGTAAATTCAATTAGTAAATTCAATTAGTAAATTCTAATTGGGACTCCTGTGATAGTTGAGTAAACCACTGGTGTTACAATATATGGCCTTTTTTTGTCCTTGGAAAACCGTTGGTGGGAAAGCAGGTGACAGTAGCCTTGAGTTAGGTGAGAGTAGGGTATTATATTTTCTGATGTATACTGTGGAAGGAAATTGAGGAGTAGTGAGTCAAGATATCTGAGTCCTAGCCCCATCTGCGTTCTAGCCCCAGCTCTCCTACAGAATCACTGTTTAACTTAGGGCAGGTCACTCCTCTCTGCTCCGGGCCTCAGATGTTACCAGAAAATAAAGAGGCTCCATGACTGGAAAAAGAAACTGCTTTAGTAGCCAGACAAGCACCAAATGGATCATGTGGCTTAGACTTGAGTCCTAAGTGAGGTCTTTTACCTTTCACTCCAGATCTAAATCTTAGGACCCACATGCTCAAGTGACCTATAAAAAGAGTTATGACTGGGTCTTCAGAGCCTTAAGGACTGATGCAATAGACCTGCCTCACCAACCTGGTCACAGCAGGAAACATAGCTTAGAGGGCTCATGGCAAACCTTATCCAGGGGTGTTTACCACAGAGGATAAAAAGTGGAAAGGAATTTAGTGCACTAGGGCATAGGAAATGGAAGAGGAAGCTGCTGGTCTCATCCCCTGCCTTCTGTGAAACCTAACCTACTACAAGGTGACCTTGTGAATAATTATAATAGTCTCTTCTTTTCTCTGGAGGAGGCAGGTTTAGAATGGGGAGAAAATGCTACAAGTGTTAAAACACTTCCTTTGTGAGGAGAAGCAGCATGGGCAGAAATAGTGTTCACCCTGTAAGCAGAGGCAAAAGCTTGAAGAAAAGAAAATGAAACATTGTTCTCATGATCCTTGAGGTCTCTTCTAACCTTCTACGTCGGATATGCACTTCACTAAATCCATTAAGCCTGGTATAATTAAGGGAAAAACTGAACTATTCCTCTTCTATCTCTGCTTCTTATAACTAGCTGTGGTAATAGGTATCCAGCTGTGCTTCTAGCCTCCGTCTTAGCTAAGAGGTGACACCCTCTGGGTGGTATGTGTACTGATACTCATACAAACAGTTTATTTTTTTCTTTTTTGTTTTCTTTTTCCCATCTCTCCCACCCTGTACTGAGGCCATTCAGGATACTTGTTCACCCCCCATTATCCCAACTAAAAAGATAACTGAACAGTATCATGGAACTATTGTGGGGTTCACTTACTACAAGGACATTCTAAGGATGCTTTCAGATAGCTCTCATCCTACTTCTGTTTCCGCAGCACCTCACAATCTCTGCACAGATGTTAATCCTTATAATATTTTTTACTTTTTATTAGCCTATATCCTGCTATTTCAATTTTTGGTGTTCTCCCTTAATGCAAGAGTCATATCCATCAGAGCTCTGACTTAGAAGAAAGCTCTAGAGTATCATCTTTGGAAGGATTTAAAGGAATCATCTAATCTAGTCCCATTTTATGACTAGGGGAACTGAGGTACAGAAAGGGGAAACTTTACGTATGCAAGTAAATGTTCTGAAAGGATTGGTTAATTTTTTCTTCCAAAATGCTTTACAAAACAACTTCTTTTTTGTTTGTTTTCACAAAGGATATTCATCTGTGAAAATGTTTAACCAGTGTTGTAAGTAGTTGATAACAATTCGCTGTATCATTCTTAAAGTAACTCTTAATTTCTTAAGAATAAATTAATATAATCAGTGTTTCAAGTACATTATGGTGATTACTGTTCAACTTTAATTCTTGTGAGCATTATTATTAGATTTTGTAAAAGTGAAATTAGGAAGTATTGGATTGGTAAGTGTCTCTTAATAAGGGGCTACTTGAAAAGTGGCTTATATTAAGAAGAGGACATTTCCCTATAGTTATGCATTCTGGATGAAAGAAACTTGTCCCCAATTAAAGCATTGGTGGAGATCACAAGACATCTAATTGGATTGATGTAGCAAACCCATTTATATAGTTTACTGCCTATTGATAGGTCAGTGAGTACTGAGATTAGCTTGTTAACATCACACTTCGAAAAAGAACTGCAGGTATTCTCTATGGTTGATTTCATGGACAGTCGGAAACTTGGTCACTAATTCATGAATGAAACAAAAACCATTGTATCTGTAAATTTTTTTTCTTTCTTCGTGGTTTGTCTAGATGAATAGAATTATGTTTTGACAGTTTTGCTATGAACTACTTGATGGATCACAATATATCACTATCACCGCTAATTACCAAATTTTGATTAATTTTATATACTTTGGTTAGTACATTTAGCTGAATCCAGTATATCTCTATATTGATAAACAGTAATTATAGACATAAGGACACCTGAACTTTGAAATCTTCATGAAAATGTTGTTAAGAATTATGTGAAACCGAATGTTTGTTTATCTAGACATATTTAATTGCTAGCAAAGAAAGCAATTAAAAGTAGCTGCAGAGTAAGAGGCCAACCTTTGTTAAACGTGGTTTTAAGATTGTTACAGAATTTGTGGTGATGATAGCATGGTGTCTTGGAGGATGTTAACAACTGTAGCAGAGTGTTAATTAAGAATGATGTAATCTGCAGCTCAGAATTATTAGTATCATATGTTAGTTTAGCTGGACAGGAGCAAAACCTAATTTCAGTTATGATGAGGGCTCAAGTTATATTTGTAGTGGAAAGATTAACATTTTATTTTTGTGCTGTTCCTGAGACAATTTAAAAATCCTGAATGAAATACAGTCAAATGTAAACATCAAGTCCTTAGCTCATTTACATATGTGCCAGATTTTCAAACTGATTGCTGTTTGAACCTAATCTGTCATTGCTGGCTGCATTAGCTACTACAAACATTACATTTACATATTGATTTCTTATTTTGTTTTAGTGTAAATAATCCATAATTATAGTAAATTTGGTCTTTTGTTGACAAGAGCTCATATGACTCTGTAAGTTTAGAATGGAAATTTAAATTGCCATGTGTCATGCTTTTTAATTTAAAAGCTTGATATATCTGAAAGGATAAAAAGATCATTGTAGATAATAAAATATTCCCAAAGAGACAAAGGAGAGAAAATTTTGTAGGGCCTTTTAGAAATATATAAATTGTAAATTATTAATGAAA